ACTTTGTCAACTTATAGCTTGCACTTATGTGAAGTTTATAGGCATAGTACAGTTAACTTACGGTAGGTGGCGCGCGTATCGTACCGACTAATTTAGTTGAAAGTTATGTATCATCTAACTTCCATAAATATATTATCATTCCTAATTAAACATACGAGTCTCTGAGAGACGACTACATATTTGTGCCATTTGCTGTAGAGGCTATGGGTCCGTGGGGTCCACGTGCGGTGAGGTTCCTAAAGGGACCCCATCTGCGACTGGTAATTGCTGCTGGTGATAAGAGGGCTGGCTCTTTTCTCGCTCAAGGGCTATAGCCATGCAGCGGGGAAACGCAGCCAGCGTTCTTGGCATGATACCGCGGGGAATAGGACTGTATGATAATTAAGTTACTAGTTTTATTTATTTTTTTATTTTTATTATAGTTTTTAATATTGTATATAGTAAAATAGTAAACAATATAAGTAACTCTTCCAAATTTAAAACCAAATTCTCACATTTATTTCTTCTGCTGCAAAAACGCGTCCGGTGCCGGCTGATAATTAAAATAATATCCATTACTTGACGTACGTTTTATTACAAATTGTGTTTTCCACTGCAAATATTGATTACTTTCGCTGTTGCTAAAGACGTCTCCTATGTTTGACGTCGCTGCTCTTCACCGGTCCGGGTATTTCACGTCCGGCGTAAACGTCCATGAGATCATTTTGGCATTTCTGAATAAAAGGCGTACTGTATTCTTTTAAGACACCTACCCCCACATTACATTAATGTGTGTAATGTCAAATGATTCAGATTACTCTGGGATCTATACGTATACCAATTATGTCTGTCCGACGCAGGTGTAGCGGCGATATTGAGTTTAATATATTAGCGTCACACACGACATTATGCAAATCAGAGCACGAACTATCTAGCTTGCAAGTTTTCGAAATTTAGTTACGTACAGTATCATATCCGTTCCCTGTATACAGAATCCAGTGTCGTCCCTACCCATGTTCATATAGCTAGATAAATTTATTTATTACAAAATATTATACAGACATGGACATCCCCTTAATATTTCATAGTAAACCCTTATCCTATAAAAAAAGTGAGATCTGAGATTTAAAGCAAAATGATGATCCAATTCCTTAGCCAGAGACATCAATACATAATATTTTTTAGTTTTTGAATTTAATAAAAATCTAAATCAAAACCTAAATAATTAAAAATTAAAAATTTTGTACAACCGACTTCCATATCAATTATTAAGAATAACTCAAAAACTTTTAGTCAGATCTTGATCAAATTCAAAAAACAAACAGGGAGCACCTGTGAAGCACCAGCTTTCAAATAAAAAAAGAATCATCGAAATCGGTTCACCCAGTAAAAAGTTATGAGGTAACACACATAAAAAAACATACAGTCGAATTGAGTACCGGCTCATTTTTGAAGACGGCAGTAAACATTAAATAATTACTACATGCGTTGTATGAAAATCCACTACTCCATATCATCCCGTGGGTGTCGTAAAGGACGACAGAAGCAAACAAATAAGGAGATGGGTAGCAGCGTCTTCTTAATAAAGACTCAAAATAAAAAATTCGGATGCCAACCCGCTTGCCAAGCGTTTGGGAAATATCCCCCTATGAGGCAATCTATGGGGGAGGCTTATATTCAGCAGTGGACTTTAATAATAATCCTCCAGACTGAATTTCGGTCACGGCTGCCAGTCTCAACGGTGACTAGCCATCTGCGACGGACAGGATCATAGAGACCAAGTGCATGCCGCTAGCACAGGGGCACTCTCTATTCCCTCACTCTCATAGTCCGAAGGGACGGTAATTCGACACGAGCGGAGAGAGATCAGGCGCAGGACCAACGGCTTTACGTGCGTCTGAGGCACGGGGGTGAGACACCGTCAATTTCCTGACTCCGGGCAGCTACTGAGAATTTTTTGATGGAAAAACCCAATAACTGATTTTGGCCCGACTCGGGATTCGAACCCGGGACCCCGTGATCAGCAATCGCGTTTACAACCACTAGACCAATGAGATAGTCGGAGTTTAATAGGCCGTAAGGTTAAATAGGCGGTAACGGTAATAACTTCTGAAGTTGTTGTAAACACATTGTGTATCGATTCTTTGACAAAGTCCCGACGACGAGCTCCTGAACTCTCATCTTGTTAAAAATTCCGTCTCTCAACAAAAAATCAAAAGTATATTAAAGCAAACTTAAGGTTGCGTCAGTACATATTATCCAGTTCTAAATTGCGGTGTTATTCTGAACAAACAAATAAGAATTTTCAAGTCAATATTTCCTCTCCGATTTCCCGACGCTGTAACTAAAACGAGCAGAGGAAAATTTTCCGACTTGTTACTCTACAGTCGGTACTCTTATTATGGAAAGTTGGTCGCCTCAAAAACAGGTTAAAGCGACACTTGAGACTGCCTTTAGAGCACGTAGGTTAACAACTTTATTTTAAATGACTACCGTCTGACCAAATAATTAAAATGTATATTATGCACCCATTAGCAGCACAAATTTTTTACATTTAAAAGGTTGACTTTAACAAACAGGAACCCATCTGACAGTTTGTTTTTATCGATTATAAGCTAGTGCTAGACTACTATGCCACCTTGATGTAAGTAGTGACTAAGCCGAAGATGGTAAAGTGTACTGACTTCTCTTAACAAGTACCTATTCACTCTTGCCTTGAAGCCACCCTCGTATGGAGTGGCGATCGTAAGAAAACATAATATTTCGAGGATATGTGCTTACCAACCCGTAAGCGGACTAATGGTTCTATAATCCTTTCAGAAATAAGAAAAGGTATGTCTAGCAGTGGAAAGTACGAGTCTGTAGGCCGTAACTTACGAACTTTATACTTATTTTATCACCTCATATTTATACCTACTTTATTACCTCATATTTATATCTATTTTACACGACTTATAGCTTGGCCTGTACCTGTACGCATGTTTAAATGAAATGGTACTTTGAATTTAGTTTTCACCCATTTTTCAGATGTCTGAATAATCTAAAATTTGGCACTCGGTTTGAGACACTAAGAAAATACAAAAATACAATAATTATATATTATATTATTTCTCGCTTATAATAGTTAATAAAAAAAATCATTTCTGTAACCTAGAATTCTCACTAGGATCATCACGGCTCTTGCGTGTTCTTTGAATTTTCTACCGACTTCAAAAAGGAGGAGGTACTCAATTCGACTATTAAGATTTTTATGTGTGTTACCTCATAACTTTTCTGGATGAATCGATTTTGATGATTTTGTTATTTGAAAGCTGTTGCTTTTCGTGTGATCCCTTATAAATTTCATCAAGGTCTGAGCTATAGTTTTTGAGTTATTCTTAATAATTTATATTGAAGTCGGTTGAACAAAATTTTAAATTATAAATTATGTTTTATTGTTTCATTTCAACACATCAGAAACAGCGCTTATGCGCCTTAAGCGCTGTTTTTCTGATATGTATTACTTTTACATCCCTTACATGTAGAAAGTGTATTATTCTGTAAAATCCTTCTGTGCATGATTTACGTCATGCACTCTACAATTCCTGTGCAATGAATTAAAACTTCTATGCAATAAATAAATAAATAAATCTATGGGCCACAGCATCTATTTACCAGCAGGTGAAATATGTGCTCGTTTGTCGCCTTTTTTCTATAAAAAAAATAAATAAAATTCTCTATTTACCTTTATAAGAATTTTTCAAGATCTAAATGTATTCTAAATTGTATAGCAGAATTTAGACGCAAGAGAGTTTTCTAAGGTACCTACTGGTAATTTGAAAGTAAGACAGCTTAGAGTTTCTAGTCTTTAAAGCTTAAAGTTAAGCTGTTTCACTTTATTGACACCACATTCAATTTTGAGAAATCAGTTTTTAATTTTCTTAAAAGCTAAGCAGTAATCGATGTAGATTCGGACATAGATACAGTATTTTAACTTGGCAATATATTTTAGTTCTTATAATTTTCTTTTGTGTTATCATAAATATAGCTTGCGTCAATTAAATTCTGTTGCTTAGTGACGAACTTGCTTTTACACGCTTTATATTAGCTTGATTTGTATCTTTTTTTTCTGCATTACGTGGTAGAGCCACGCTGCAGCTATATTAGTAGTAGGTATAGTTATAGCACCAATGGGTCGGCTCGACCGGGGAAGGACCACGCTCTCGCATAATACCAGCGTAAAATAGCAACGCCAATGTTGCTGTGTTTCCTGTGGTGAGTGTAGAGAACCGGAGACCCTTTTTACTGGTAAAGAGACATTACATCTTAGTACTCACGGGTGAGAACGCATCTGCATTTTGATTCGCAAACGAGGATAAATGTAGATGTCTTTGGGCCACAGCAACCACTTACCATCAGGTAGACTGTGTGCTCGTTTGTTACACATAAAAAACTGCACCTATGTATGTAAATTTATGAAGGTAATGAAATATTATAATTCAGTTGTCACTTCCAAACAATGATCTAGTAGTTGAATCATATTTAACATTTACAAAACGATAAAAAAATAACCTTTGCAGCAAAATCATTAATTAGCGATATTGTTAAATACTAGTGAAATCCATGAAGCCGCAAAAGACAAAGCCGACCTTTTAGGCTCCCTTTTTGCGTCCAACTCGACTCTTGATGACGGGGGGAAAACACCGCCGACCATCCCGCGGTGTGAGTGCTCCATGCCGGATGTGCTGTTCTCACAGCGCTCGGTTCGCAAAGCACTCCTTTCCCTGGACATCCAGAAGTCGAGTGGGCCTGACGGGATCCCCCCAATTGTGCTCAGGACGTGTGCTCCGGAGTTGGCACCGGTCCTAACGCGTCTTTTCCGGTACTCCTACTCCCAAGGCGTAGTCCCGAATTCATGGTAGACAGCTTTTGTCCACCCGATTCCTAAAAAAGGCGATCGCTCAGACCCGTCCAACTATAGGCCTATCGCAATCACCTCCTTGTTCTCCAAAATAATAGAATCCATTATTAACTGCCAGCTCATGCGGTACCTTGAGGATCACCAGCTGATTAGTGACCGCCAATACGGTTTTCGTCGGGGTCGATCAGCTGGTGATCTTCTGGTCTACCTGACCCATAGATGGGCGGAGGCAGTGGAGTCCAAGGCTTTCGATCGGGTTTGGCACAAAGCGCTTCTTTCGAAGCTCCCTTCCTATGGGCTTCCCGAGAAATTGTGCAATTGGATCACCAGCTTTCTTGCTGATCGGAGCAGCAAGGTCGTTGTAGACGGTGCATGCTCCGACTACAAGCCTATTAATGCTGGTGTTCTACAAGGCTGCGTGCTATCACCATCGCTGTTTCTTCTGCATATCAATTATATGTTGCAAACCGGTAGCATTCATTGCTATGCGGATGACAGCACTGGTGGTGCTCTATACACCGGCCGTGCCAATATTTCTCGGGAAAACGTCGCCGAGTACCGGAACAAACTTGTGTCTGAAGTCGAGTCTTTGCTGAACAATGTCTCGGATTGGGGCGACTAAATCTAGTCCAGTTTAATTTTTTCTTCCTCGCACGACTTCCTTGTGGAATCGATTACCATCAGCGATTTTTCCGGACCGATACGACTTAGGGACCTTCAAGAAAAGAGCGTACTCCTTTTTAAAAGGCCGGCAACGCATCTGCAATTCCCTCCCTGATGTTGCAGTTGTTCATGGGCGGCGGTAGTCACTTACAATCAGGTGAGCCGCATGCTCGTTTGCCCCCTCTCCTATAAAAAAAAATCAACCATGATAAACACAAAGCCATTACAGCCTATAAAAGTTAACTGCTGAAACATCCACCGCCTCCCCATTGATTGCCTCATAGGGGGGATTTTGCCATAATTGCATACCACCACACAACCGCAGTTTTTATTATTATTTTGAGTTGTTATCAAGAAGATGGTGCTGCCCATCTCTATTTTTGTTTCCCTCTGTCGCCTCTTACATCACCGACAAGACGAAAGGGGGTAGTGGATATTCTTACAACGCCAGTACACGGCACACGGCATAAAAAATTATGATACCAATATTAAGATGTAATCCTTAATAAGATATAATATAAAAGTTAATATTACATTTCAAAATTCACTAAATTATTGTATACTATGTTAATCATAACGCTAATATCTTCTTTATATATAAAAATTACATGTCACATTGTTTGTCCGCGATGAACTCCCTAAACTACTGAACTGATTCCAACTTGAGAGATAGGATGGTTTTATCCCGATAAGTCAGCCCCAGTATTTTTTATTGCTAATTTAAGTATTTTTATAGTACAAAAGTTCGCCGCTAAGGGCAGAACAACGTCTGCCTGGCCAGCTAGTCTTATAAAATTCCGGTGTGCGTTTGTGTTCGTAATTCTTCTTCTTCTAATTGGCTTGACCAATTTTTATTTAATTTTTATTGGATACTCACGGGGTTACCAGAATGATTCTTAGTTATAGTTTGACCTGTTAGGTGGAGTTGTTGTTGAGATCCAGAAAGCACATGTGCGAAGCCGGTGCGGGTCGCTTTAATTTTGTACACAAACAACAAACAAGAGGTCGATGAAGTCAAGTGCCTCACGACCTTGTTTCGTGGCATTCCTGAGGATGACGATATGATTATGTTACATTATTACATATATTATATAGCTGATTAGTGGCGTATAGTGGAGGTGTAGGAATATCCACTACCCCATATCGAACCGTGGTAGCTGAGATGGTTAGCGCTCGCTGTAAATTTCGCAGTACGCGAGAAACCCGGGTTCGATCCCCGCCGATATCAATGAAATTGTTAATTGCATTTTTAAGTGCTGTTTTACCACGTGCTCGGCGGTGAAGGAAAACCTGCATGTGTGAGAAATAAGAAAAAATATATTTAGAAGACATGTGAAGTTCGCCAACACGCATTGGGGCAGCGCGACGGACACTTCCTTGCCCTAAAACCCTCTCAGAAATGAGAGGAGGCCTGTGCCCAGCAGTGGGACGTAAATAGGCTGTAACGTTTTTAACATATCGTCCCGTTGATGGAATAATAATGTTTCTTTACTGATTCTTGTGTGAAACTATAAATTTTATGAAGCAGAGATGACGACGAAGAGATGTTTTAAGGTAAGCATATTATATAGATAATTCATTACTTCTTGAACGACAAGAGTTATCATGCGTTTAACAACTCCCATTTCAAGAATCTCAAATATCCCCTTTTATTAAATTTATTAATTTATTTATTATTACAAATTCTCTCGACATGTAATAATTCGCCAGAGGCCACACGGTCATCTTAAAACATTATCTCATTATTCAGCTAATCGCCTCATTATTTCTGGGTCAGTTAATCCTGGGCTTACATTCCGCTTTTTAATTGTACCTGCCTTCTCTCTCTAACCCTCATCGAGATCGTTTGTTTTTCAGTCAGAATTTGCCATCTCGTTAACCTCGCAAGTTATGAATTGGTGTAATTAATAGGAGCGCAGCGCGGCGTTGAGATGAGCGCATGCAGGATCTGTTTTTAAATTATTAAAACGTTTGGATTTCATAATATTTATAGGCATTACACAAAAATTTATAACCAAACAGAAATATAACTGGAACACAATCATCGTTTTAAACAAATATTCAACAACTTTAAAAACGAAGAAAACACATATACTCAGTACTTCGAAACACCTTAAGACCTACCTGTCTTACTGCTAGGTATAAGCCTCCTCTTACTTCTGGAAAAGTTTTGAAGCAGGATTCCAGCGTTTTGACCCAATTCGTGTTGGCTGACTTAACATAATTATTTTGAATTGCTCATACAAGCACGATCACTGACTTCTTCTTATTTGAGGATTATTAATATAATTCATAAATATACAGATAGAACTGCGATCGTCAGTAGTCAAAATTTCAACAATACAAAATAATAGGCACAGAAACAAAAGATTTATGTCTCTGGGCGTATTGTCAGTAACCGGTAACTAATTTATATCCTTCGAAGCTATAAAAACATGGGTTTTGTCATTTGTAACGAAGCTGGTAAATATATTATGCCATCGAGTAGCCTATGAATAAATTGAATAATATTGTTAAAGTGATCATCGTATAATATATTATTAGAAATATCAGATATAAATAGAAATTTGGCCATATACCGATAGCATAAACACTTATGAGTAATAATAATAATAATAATAAATCAAAACAATGACGAATAAGTCTTCTACGGGGAGTCCCATGACAAGCAGTGGACTTTACAGGCTAATGGAGAATAAATTATAGATAAAAAAAAAATTAAAAACAAAACACGCTTTAATGGCAAACCGTACTCATCATCATTACAGCCCTTCACAAGTCCACTGCTGAACATAGGCCTCCCCCAAAGAATGCCACAAAGCACGGTCCTGAGCCACCTGCATCCATCGACTTCCTGCATATCTTACCAGGTCGTCACTCCATCTAGTGGGGGGACGCCCTACACTTCGCCTGCCGATACGAGGCTGCCACTCGAGAACCTTTCTTCCCCATCGGTTGTCGGTTCTTCGAGCTATATGGCCGGCCCATTGCCACTTCAGCTTACTAATCCGTTGGGCTATGTCGGTCACTCTAGTTCTACTGCGGATATCCTCATTTCTGAGTTTATCACGCAGAGAAACTCCGAGCATAGCCCTCTCCATAGCTCGCTGAGCGACCTTGAGCTTCCTCATCCGGCCAGCAGTGAAGGACCACGTCTCAGTTCCGTATGTCATCACTGGCAACACGCACTGGGTGTACAGTCTCGTTTTCAAGTTTTGAGGTATACCTGACGAGAAGATGTGCCGTAATTTCCCGAACGCTGCCCAACCGAGTTGAATCCGTCGATTGACCTCTCGGTCGAAGTTGGACTTACCTAGTCGGACTATTTGTCCCAGGTAAACATACTCGTCAACAACTTCGAGCTTAGTGTTCCCAACAACTACCGGCATAGGTGTGACATGGACATTAAACATGATCTTTGTTTTGTCCATGTTCATCTTAAGACCTATTCGTTGGGAAACACTATTGAGGTCATTGAGCATAGTGCTTAGGTCCTCCAGCGATTCTGCCATAAGGACTATATCGTCGGCAAATCGAAGGTGAGTGATGTACTCGCCATTGATGTTGATACCGTATCCTTTCCAGTCCAGAAGCTTGAAAACATCTTCCAATGCAGCGGTAAAGAGTTTCGGGGATATGACGTCACCCTGTCTTACACCTCTCTGCAATTGGATAGGTTTCGTACTCTGGTTCTGTACTCGGATAGCCATCGTAGCCCTACTGTACAAGCACTTCAACACTTCGATATACCGACAGTCAACTTGGCATCGCTGAAGGGACTGCAGCACCGCCCAAATTTCGACGGAATCAAAGGCTTTCTCATAGTCCACATACGCCAGACATAGCGGCAAATTGTACTCCTCGGACTTCTGTACAATTTGCCGAAGGGTATGTATGTGGTCTATGGTGCTAAAGCCTTTTCGGAAACCGGCTTGTTCGGGAGGCTGGAAGTCGTCAAGTCTGCGCGCGAGACGATTCGTAATGACTCTCGAAAACAGCACGTAGACGCGGCTCAGAAGGGAAATCGGTCTGTAGTTCTTTAAGAAAGCGTTGTCGCCTTTCTTGAAGAACAAGACCACCGCACTTCTGCTCCACGCCTCCGGTGTAATGCCACCATGGAGGACGGAATTAAAGAGCTTCTGAAGGACTTCAAGTACCGGTTTTCCACCCGCTTTCAGAAGCTCCGCTGTAATTCCGCAAACCGTACTAAAAAGGTAAAAATATTTTTTAGAAATAAGAATAGTATAATTAACGCAGATAGACTTAGTTATATTGTTTTTTTAAACTATAATTTATTTTTAAATTTTTAGTAATTCTAGTGATCCTGTTCAGAATAATGGGACGAGCTTATCATAATAATGGATTGTCATCGGTCCTTAATATGTATGCAAAGTTTCAATTTAATCTGACATTTGAAAGTAGCTGCAAATCAAATTTAGAAGAGTCGGTTACAAACAAACATACTCGTACAAACATACACCTGAAACTAATATCAAAAAGCGTGTCAAAAAGAAGAATGCTAGTGTGCTAGTAGGGCAAAGTACCTAAAGTTAAGAAGCGGAATAAATAGTTGAAATACGCTTCAACTTATAAGTTAAACCAAATCTGCACTTCTATTATCATGAACGCACATCCGTAATCCCCGGACCCTTTCGTTACGTAATTTTGTTAGTAATTAAATCCACTGATCGTTTATACTGTTAGAAAATGGACCGTCTAATTTGATTCCCCAATAAATATAATCAAAAGCGTCTCATAATATCCACCTTATTCAAATGCGATGTAGTAATGTATGATGTAGCGTTGTTGTATTTAAATCAACCTGTGCACGCGACTTTGTTTATGTGGGTTATAGTCATTCAGAATAGAATAATAAACAATTATAGTAATTTTAACATAATATAGATTAATACTTTAAAATACTTTAAATTCATACTACTAACTACATTTTGTATATTA